GTTTCCCACTCAAAGGTGCTTGGCGATTTCTCGTCCAATGCTTGGAGACTCGATTGGGTTTCTTTGGCGGTAGGTATGCGCGGCGGGCCAGAGGGAGCGGTTTGGCGGCGGGCACGTTGCTGCTTTGTGGAAGGCATGGTGCGGTCAAGACCGAGGGAGTGTGATGGGAGTCAGCCCGCAGCTCATATCTCTCTGCCGACTTAATTCAGAGTGAATTTCAGGCCAGCTTTGATGTTGAAGTCGAACTGCGATGTGGTCAACTCCGAGATGGGTTCTGCCGAGAGCTCCCGCCTGGATTGCTGCAACAAATCACAGGCGCGCCATTGAGAGCTTCCCCGGATATAATTTCACCTTTGCAGGTTTGATATGCCCTAGCTGGTGATCCCGCCATCATCTACAATGTTGAAATCCCAAATGCGACGGCCCGCGACGCACTCCGTCCTCGCCTTTCGTCCACTCAGAAACTCGGCGGCTCAGTCATTAAATGCGCCATGGTCCCGATTTGCTAGCAGTCAATCGCAAAAGCCAAGCCCGTCATCGCACTGGATCCGCAATTCTCTCGGGTTCGCTGTTACAGGAACTGCAGTCTTTTTGGGATATTCATACCTGACTGATGGTGGAAAGGAGGATTGGGCGAGTCGCCCGGAGGTTACGAAGAGACAACCCGTTGATGCCAACGATCTTCAAGCCCAGTTCATTCAGGAGAAGCGGAGTCTGAAAAGCCCCGGCGTGTACACATGGGGGTCTAACGTTTATCGTGTGGTGGATCCAGGATCCAAAGATACCGACATCAAGACTCCTCGGCGTTTCAAGTACTTTGATGGCCAGGTGCTGAGAGATCTTAAGATCGAGGAAAAGTGCGGTGCAGCAATCACCGAGAACGGAGATCTAGTGCAATGGGGCCACGCATTCTCCGAGTCAGACTTCAAGCCCACGGCGACTCTGACTGGCAAGAATCTCATCTCGCTCGCTTTGTCCGAAAGTCGAATCATCGCGCTGTCCTCGGATGGGACTGTATACTCACTACCTACGTCCAAGAATGAGCAAAGTAGCGGTCCAAAGTTAACAGAAAGCTCTTGGGTTCCGTTCTGGCCCAATCGGTCTAACTTGAGCTACCGTGTACTGAACCCATCTTTGAAGCTAGGTGAAAAGGTCACCACAATCAGTGGAGGACTTGAACATGTGCTACTCCTTACAAGCTCCGGCCGAGTCTTCTCTGCAGCGTCATCTACCGAAAATTACCCTTCGCTTGGCCAACTCGGTGTGGAGGGACTTACCTGGTCCACCAGACCCAAGGGACCAGCAGATGCCTGCCACGAAGTTACAGCTCTTGCAGGCTCCAAGATTGTTCAGATTGCCTGTGGGGACTACCACTCGCTGGCGCTGAGCAAAGATGGCCGTATGTTTGGCTTTGGCGACAACTCATTTGGCCAATTGGGTGTGGATTTTGAACCTGAGAGGCCTTTCAAGGATGCTCCGTTCCTTATGAAGGTACAAAAGCTCTATAGCAGAAACCTCTACCTACCTAAGGTTACCAGCATTGCTGCTGGTGGCGCAAACACCTTCTTCTCCGTCGATGTCAAGCGCATTCTGGGGTATGAAGAAGAAGCTGCCAATGTGCATGATCTTGGAAAAGTGACCACAGACACATGGTCATGTGGTAGAGGGATTTGGGGTACTCTCGGAAATGGCAGATGGGTTCACCTGCAAGACTCCCCGACCAAGGTGAAAGCTCTGAGTGGCGTGAGCGAGTATGACGAGAAGACAAAGCAAATGACCCCTATCCGGATTCGGGCCATGTCTGTTGGTACAACACATGTCTCTGCTATTTTGGACAACAAAATCAATGTTAGTAGGACTACGAAAGACTCTTTGGACCAATCCAAAGACTGGGGCTATGATGTTCTCTTCTGGGGAGGCAACGAGCATTTCCAGCTGGGAACAGGAAAGCGAAGTAACCAGTCCAAACCAACCCATATCAATGCCCCTCCCCAAAACAAGAAAACACAGGGCGAGGCGCGATTACAGATCATGCCTCGTCACAAGGGCAAGGTCGACAAGCGCAATGTGAGCATGGAACAGCGTGTTGAATGTGGGCGCCATGTCTCTGCCATCTATTCTGCAGTTTAAAGGATAAAAATGGAACCTGTATATTAGCTATGCCATATGAAATCCAATTATAATTCACTCTACTAGATAATCGGCCTGTTGTTTTCATCTTATAGAATGGCCAAAATTGCAAACACACCAAACTCTTATCACCGCGGAGACGCTTGGACCACCGCTTATCCAAAAAATTTCCAGCGCTTCAAGTCCATCTTTTCTCACGACATACCGCCACAATGCCTCGCGAACAACAAAAAAGAGGCCGCAGGGCCGAGAAGAAAGCCCAGAAGGATGATTCCAAGAGAAAGTTCGAGGAAACCGCCGAAGACCCCGTTGCGAAGCGAATGAAGCCATCTGCCGACGACGCCGACGAGATCAACGAGGTCAACGACGACGTCCAGCTTCCTGAAAATGAGGACTACATTCCGCTTGATCAGGGCGAGCAGCAGGAAGGCGAACAGCCTAACCTGGATGGCGATATGCCTTTCTACGGTCTCCTAGACGAGGAGGAGTCAGAATACTTCCAGCGCGCCAACGAAATGTTGGAGCTAAACCAGTTCCAGGATGCCGAAGAGCGTAGCTTGTTTGTCGACAGTGTGTACTCGGAAGCAAGTGGCAAAGAATTGAAGATTGCTTGCAGTCAGGGCTGTTCGAGACTCATGGAGAAATTGATTTCAATGTCAAACACCCAACAACTGCGCCGGATATTCAGCAAGTTTATCGGCCATTTCCTCCACCTAGTGCAGCATCGATTCGCGAGTCACTGCTGTGAGACTCTTTTTATTCACGCTGCGCCTGCCGTGATGCAAAAGGCGAAGCCTCAACCTAAACAGTCCGACGGAGACGAAGAAGGAGAAGAAGAGCCGGAACTATCGCTCGCAGAGATGTTCATGGCTGTTATTGAAGAACTGAAGGAAAACTGGGGATACCTGCTGACAGAACGATTTGCGTCGCACACGATCCGCGTGCTACTGCTGGTTCTTGCAGGTGAGCCGGTAGATGTCACGTCAAATGAGTCGTTTGTTGCAAGTCGCAAGAAGGAAAGAATTGAGATCAAGGCTATTCAGGGCGAGGAGAAGATGGAAAAATCTAACGAGAAACACACTGTTCCAGCAACATTTGAGCCGGCACTCAAGAAGATCATGACCGATATGGTTGCCGGTCTCGACGATGTTTATCTCCGCGCCCTGGCCACACATCCCGTTGGAAACCCTGTGCTCCAGGTACTGTTGTTCTTGGAGCTTTCGCACTTTGGCAAGTCTAGTGCCAAAGATCCCAAGTCGACCATCCGGAGACTGGTTCCCGATGATTCGTTTGAGGAAGAATCCGAAAGCGCGGTGTTCATCCGTGGTCTCCTCTACGACCCAGTGGGATCCCGCCTGTTAGAGACGATGGTGCGATATCTTCCTGGTAAATCATTCAAAAACCTTTACAGAAATAACTTGGGCGACCGAATTGGTTCCCTCGCTCGCAATAGCACTGCTGGATACGTGGTTCTTCGGATGCTGGAGAGACTGGGCAAGGATGACTTGAAGATTGCCATGGCCAACATCATCCCCGAAATTCCGGGCTTGATTGAACGGTCGAGACTCATTGTCCCCAAGATGTTGATTGAGCGGTGTGTGGTCCGTGGCGTCGATACAAAGCCTCTTGCTGAAGCACTCGAGGGCGCTTACAGTCAGGATCCTGTCATCAGACTGCAACAGATGCTCAAGTTCAACCCCTCGGATAACACGGCCCCGCAATCTGAAGATCATGATATGGATGAAGACAACAATGGAAAGGAGCGCAAGCCACGGGGCCCGCCCCCAGTATCTGCAGCCGAGAAGGCCGAGAAACTGCATGCCTCTCTGCTGGTACAGGCCATGTTGACCGTCCCCGGCCCGATGAGCCAACTTGTCTACACTAGTCTTCTCGCCCAATCGCCCGAAAGCATCGTACAACTTGCCCAAGAACCCACCTCTTCCCGTGTTCTCCAACAGGCCCTGACTTCCCAAACATCCACGCCTCAAATCCGACGACAGCTCACCACCCGTTTCCAGGGCAATCTCACACCTCTTGCCTTGAGCAGCAGCGGATCACACGTAGTGGATGCGCTCTGGCATGCAACCAAGGATATCTTCTTTGTCAAGGAGCGTATGGCGCAAGAGCTCGAGCAGCATGAACAGGAACTCCGTGATTCCTTTGTGGGTCGCGCAGTCTGGCGAAACTGGTCAATGGATCTCTTCAAACGCCGCCGACGCGATTGGGCTCACAAGGCCAAGGGTCTTGAGGAGCGAACCGAGAGCAATGAAGGTGCCGCACGTCCCATGTCTAAACTTGACCAGGCGCGGGCCCGTTATGCAGCAGCCAAGGAAGCAGCCGATGCTGGTGCCACCGGTGCGAATCAGACTGCGGTGTCTAGCAGACAATGATGGACACAGAGAATTACATATTGGACGAAATGCACATGTACTCATACAAAAAGGCGTTGATGTATTCAGTCGTTACACCATGCTTTTATTTGTTTTATATCTATTTCCTAGCATTCTTATGAAACGGTCTCATATTCCATGCTCTTACAGTAGTTCGACAATCCCAGGGCGGGTTCCTGCAGGTTAGCCGATATTTAATATTCCCTGCATATGCTATATGCAAGTACTCTAGATTAAGATTATTTATATTTGAAACTCCATGATCCAACTCAAACATAAGTGTAGCTGAGTGTATAGACCATCGCATGCTCCAGAGCTCCAAGATGATGTCAGGCTGTGCGGGATTGTCGCCATCTCCGAGATGGCCGGCAAACTTTTTCTTTTCTTCAATTGTGTCTTCTACTCTCTTTGCGTTTCCATTCTGCATATACTCGGTGTCTTTTTGCATTTTTATATAGAACGTGAGAACCTGTACAAATAATGTCAGGCATTGCGCAGCCCAGCCGCGCTGATGAAGTGCAAAGCGTGAGTCAACTCCACATCGCAATGATCTGCACGCCACTACATTCTTTGTTCAATGTTCTAATACTAATATGATCGTTTTGTTCAGCTTCTGAAAGCAGTAGAAGACCTTCTCATCCCGTTTATCCGATCCGCAGACAATGATTCCCTCGGTTCATCGACACAGAAAAATGGTACCAACGGCACCAATGGACACACTGGACTGGCTGGAAGCTCGTTGGTAGATTATAAGAAGCCCGAAGAGTTGCGAGATATTCTTCAGCTCGAGATCCCCGAGAAAGGCACTAAGCAGGAAGGCCTCATCGGGGTCTTGCAAAAGGTCTTGAAATACTCAGTCAACACCTGGCACCAGGGCTTTTTGGACAAGCTATATGCGTCAACCAATGCGCCCGGCGTGGCAGCGGAACTCATCCTCGCTACCTTGAACACCAACGTACACGTCTACCAAGTGTCGCCTGCACTGACGGTCATTGAGAAGTACACCGGCCAGCGGTTGGCGAACCTCTTCGGGCTGAACGGTCCCCGAGCAGGTGGTATTTCCGTACAAGGCGGGTCTGCATCGAACACCACCTCCATCGTCATTGCGCGCAACAATCTCTACCCGAGCACTAAAACAGACGGAAACGGCGGGTACAAGTTTGTGCTCTTTACGAGCGCGCACGGCCACTACAGCGTAGAAAAGGCGGCCCAGATGCTCGGATTCGGTAGCAGCGCCGTCTGGCCCGTCTCCATTGACAAAGTCGGCCGCATGATCCCAGCCGAGCTTGAGAAGCTGGTCCAGAAGGCGCAGAGCGAAGGTCGGACACCGTTCTATGTCAATGCCACCGCAGGCACAACCGTTCTGGGCTCTTTCGATCCCTTTAACGAGATCGCAGCCATCTGCCAGAAATACAATATGTGGTTCCACATCGACGGGTCTTGGGGCGGCTCATTTGTCTTCTCTCAGCGCCAGAAACATAAGCTAGCCGGCGCAGAGAAAGCAAACAGCATTGCGATCAACCCGCACAAAATGATCGGCGTTCCTGTCACCTGCTCGTACCTGCTAGCATCAGATATGCGCCAGTTCCACAAGGCCAACACCCTTCCCGCTGGATATCTATTCCACAATGAAGAAGACGAGCCCACCGCCAATGGCGCCGCACAGAACGAATCCGAGCTGGAAGTCGACTCGCCGGAAGTCTGGGACTTGGCAGACCTCACTCTCCAATGCGGTCGACGTGCCGATTCCCTCAAACTCTTTTTGGGCTGGACATATTACGGAAACGAAGGCTACCAACAGCAGATCGACTCGGCATGCGATATCGCCGCGCACTTGGCTAACACCATCGCTCAACATCCCGATTTCGTTCTTATCAGCGAAAACCCCCCACCGTGCCTGCAGGTGTGCTTCTATTACGCCCCTGGCGGGAAATTCGTGTACCCGCGCGGCTTGGTCTCAAATGAGACACAGCGCGCAAAAAATAACAGCAGGGTCACTGAGCAGGTGACGCATGCGATCGTGCCCAAGGGATTCATGGTGGACTTTGCGCCTCCCAGTGGGGATGAGGAGGCGGCTGGGAATGGAAAGTTCTTCCGGTGCGTTGTTAATGTTCAGACCACAAAGGAGACGGTCGATTCACTTGTCCGCGCCATTGAAGAAGTGGGCCCTGGTATTGTTGAGTCTTTGAAGGCGAGCAACCCGCCCATTCCTCATAAGCGACTTGGCGAGCGTGGACATGGCCCTGTTGTCCATCACGTTTGAGCCGGTGCGTGATTTGTTTTCTTTGGATTTACTTGCGCATATAGAGTAGATTTTATGGACACGAGAGACGGGATACGACATACAGGAGATCTGATGCAATATATAAGGCTGTGTATCAATTTGGCATTCTAAGAACAATATAAGCCAGTTTCACATAGCCCATAGAGAAAGGACCCGGCATAGTTTCGAACTTGCCTACTTGAACAATAGTGATAAATTCTGTGCATAGATGATGGCGTGGGTGAAGTGATATCAAAGCGATTAACTGCCAATCTCGACCCTACGTTCCAACACGGACCGGGCTTCAGCTTCCGAAAGAGAGTCAATCTCCAATTCGGCAAGCACACTCCGGGCACTCTCGTTGTCCCTAAACAGCCTCTTCTCCACATCCCATAATCTTAAATCAGCGTCTTCCTTTGCAGAGACGTCGCCTTCTTGCTCAGCGGTACTCAAGCAAAGAATACGCAGTCCCTCGCGAAGCTTTTTGATAGTTCGAGATGAGATACCCGACTGGCTAGATGGACCAAGTGCAGAATCCACAACGTGACAGAGATGGTCGACATCGCTGGCAAGCTGGGCCGCTCCAGTTTCAGAGAAGGTGTGTTTGGTCAGGATACTGTCCCAGATATAGCTTTGAATGGACAACAGAAGTTGGCGCGAGACTCGCCGTAGAGGCGCAGTCCCTAGTGCCCGAGAGAGGAAAGAGAGCTGAGTGGACAAGACGCGCATTGCATGGGCGAGGTCGGAAGTGGGCGAGAGTGTAGATGCATGCGCTGTGGCGGAGGGGGTTGATAGCGTTGCCCATGTAGATACGCGAGAGTAGGGCTTCAGAACGGCGAGGATATTGGAGGACAAGGTCGATGTGATGATACTTTCTGAGCGAAGTCGAAGACGACGGTAGGCAGATGCCGTCTCGTCGAAGAGAGCGCCATCAGATGAGGTCGCGGTGTGGGCGCCGTTGTTTACGACTGCGGGTGAGGTACGGGACGCTACCTCTGCGACAGACATAGTACCAGCTACGTTGCGGCCGCTGTCTCGGTTTTGTTGAACCCGATCTTGGAGCTCGGACCAGAGCTCAACGAAGAACACATCGTTGCTCCAATCCTCCATCTTCTTTTCGAGGTACTCGGCACTTCCGAAAACCCTGCAAAGCCGCTCCAGCCCAGCGACACCCTCGACGCTAGCTTGCCCGTCGGCTCCCTGTACAGTGCGTCCAAGCGTCGACGTCATTGCAAGATAGGCCTCTAGTGCAGAATGTAGACGCTCGTGGAACTGGTCGAAAATCGTAATTTGAATGTCAATAAGAAATCTCAGTTTCTGACTGAAAGACGACAGTGGCTGATAGCGCTCTGTTATAGTTTCGAGGAGGTCATTCACGCGGATCGCAGCTTTTGTTGGTTTCGTTGCAGTGACCTCCATGCCATCGTAATCGATTTCTCCGCTGTCTGCGGTGTCGATGATATCTTTGTATCGCGCTAACGCAAAGTCCTTCTCAACCTGAAGCCATCGATCATACCACCCCTGTTTGGTCAACACTTCCCAGGTCATGCCCTTCCAATTGTCGTCCGCATATGGACCTGGCATGTAGTTCCACGTTTCCCGGATCTCGTTATCGAAGTTCATCAGTTCATGAATGAAGTGGCTGAGCAATTGAGGGTAGTTGGAGATTTGAGGGAGGAACAAGCTGATCTTCTCCTTCAGCATAGGAAGTAATGCAGTAATGTAACTATGTGATGCGTTGTAAAAGTTCCATTCCAAGTTTGGACCGACTGCTTCGGCTCTTTCATCGAAGATGGGCTGCATATAAGAGACGAAAAACCCGCCAAATTGGTTGGCAAGGTCCATTATGTGCGAGAGGAAATATTCCGGCTAGAACCCAATTAGACTCATTTTCCTGCATAGGCATAGGGCTACATTACCTTATCCAGTCGGTTTGTTGGCTTGTCTCCACTAAAGTGGTATCTGAATCGCAGTTCCAGATGATGCACCATGACCTCTAATGGGAACAGGACTGGTGGCTCGAAGCTCGGCCCAGAAGCTAGTGCGTCACGGCTTGGAAGTTCACTAAAGGAAACTTGTAAGAATATGCACCTAGGGATGAAAGGACTGGTCATACGGTAATTGCAAGTCAATCAACAGTTCAACATCTTGCCTCCACTGGGCCAAGATCTGATCAGTAAGATTCAGCTGTTTTGTCGGCCAATTCATCTCTTCCAGCGTTTTCTGCAACCTGTCACCGAAATATTTCTTCATCTGTTGTCTCAATGCAGAGGCTAGTTTGTCTGTGTAGTCAACAAGATGGGGGGCCGCTCCTTCGGCAGCAGGCTGGGCGTCCTTGAGTAGTACAACGATGGTTCGTAGTCGGGCATACGGCTTCAAAGCGGCGCGTGGTTCGGAGTTCATGTCTGTCAAAGCTTGCTTGCTGTATTGCTATCTCAGTATGCATCCCCTCACGATTGGTGATGACATTACCTCAATTCCTCGGCTTCCTTGAGCAACTCCACATATCCCTTGGATATCTCAAGCCGCTGGAGCTTCTCCATGCTCTTTTCCAGACTCCGCACCGCCTCATCACTGCTTTCAGATTGTGTGATGGCCATTAATCGTCGGTCGATGTCCGCTTGCTCCGCGGTGAATGCCTCGGCTTGCTTTCGAGTGGCTTCAGCATGGTCGTTAGAGGCTTTTGTCGCATTTGAGAGTGCTTCGCTGGCTTCTGCTAGCTTTTTTGCGGGATCGTATCAGTAGTGTTTAGGGAGAAAATCGGTGTGAGGGGCTGTACCTGTTTCCGCTGAAGCTCCTGTTGCGCGCGTAGATTAGATAGCAGCGAATCTAGACTCTCCAAATCGGCAGAAACCTGAATTTTGTCATTTAGATAATCTTCAACACGAGTCCGCTCATGCGAAGATAATTCCGTGAGGGACGCCATTGTTGAAGGGAGGAAACTTGACTGCGGAAGCGCAAGGTGTCGCGAATGTTGATCTCCGCCTTTTGGACTGACGTCTTCCGCAGTGGCAACCATGAGCCCTTACAATATCGACAATATCAACACCTTGAATAATGTCTAGTCCAGCCAAGAAGCGGAAAAGAAATGGGGATTCATCGCCACCGAAGCGCACTATTAAGTCGTTCTTTAAAGGACAGACCTCCGAGCAAAACAATATAATAGTCCCCGATACCACCGAGCAAACTCTCTCCGATGAAGCTCTTGCGCGCAAGCTACAGGCTGAGTGGAATGAACAGGAAAATACAAGCACCCCTGTCGAAGATACACAAGCAAACCTGGAGATCAATCCAGCTCCATCTACATTAGATTCAGCCGTTTCGCCCCTGTTAGCACCGGTGATGCCAAAGAAGAGCACTCTCTCACTACAGTCATCAGCTGGCACAGAGGATACATTATCCCTTGCTATTCCTCTGGATCAAAGCCCCCAGATTTTTGACGCGAGTCAATGTGCAGCGGAACTACGGTCGCATTGGGCAGCCGAAGGCGGCGATGCTTCTTATGCTTTATTAACAAGAGCCTTTGTCCTGGCGAATGCGACGACCAGTCGCATAAAGATTGTCGATACACTGGTCAACTTTCTTCGAGTCCTAATTGAAGGCGACCCATCGAGTATCCTACCTGCTGTGTGGCTAGCAACCAATTCCATATCGCCTCCATACGATGAACTAGAGCTTGGCCTCGGAGGTTCTTCCATTTCCAAAGCGCTGAAAAAAAATATACGGCCTCAATAGTCAAGGTCTCAAGGCCCTTTATGATAAGCACGGAGATGCAGGAGATGTTGCATTCGAAGCAAAAAAGCGACAATCGTTCACTCTGGTGAAGCCGAAACCATTAAGGATCAAGGGAGTATACCAGTCACTGAAGAAAATTGCCACTAGCAAAGGACCTGGAAGTCAAGAAACCAAGCAGAGGATCGTCGAGAAGCTTCTACAGGATGCGCGCGGCGCCGAGGAGAGTCGATACATTGTCCGCACATTGGTACAGAATCTACGAATTGGCGCAGTCAAGACGACGATGCTGATTGCGCTTGCACGAGCTGTCTTATATTCCAAGCCAGTCGGAGCAGACTTCGAGGTCCGCCCGCTGGATCAACTTGCACGCCTAAAGAAGGATGAGCTTACGGAAATCTACAACAATGCGGAAGAAATCGTCAAAGCCTCATACGCTAGACATCCTAATTACAATGATTTAGTGCCCTGCTTATTAGAAATCGGGCCCACAGCAGAGCTTTTGATCAGATGCGGCCTATGCATGCACATTCCACTAAGGCCGATGCTGGGCAGCATCACACGCGATCTGTCCGAGATGTTGACGAAGCTCCAAGGCCGAGACTTCAGCTGCGAGTACAAGTACGACGGGCAACGTGCGCAGGTACACTGCGACGAACAAGGAAAAGTCTCTATCTTCTCGCGCCATCTCGAGCTCATGACGGAGAAGTATCCGGATCTTGTCTCTCTGGTCCCGCAAATACGGGGAGAAGGTGTGTCCAGCTTTATCCTGGAGGGAGAAGTAGTTGCCGTGGACCGTGAGAGCGGCGATCTGAAGCCATTCCAGGTCTTGACCAATCGAGCAAAGAAGAACGTCGAACTCGGAGACATCAAAGTCAATGTCTGTCTTTTCGCATTCGACCTCATGTATCTCAACGGCGAGCCATTACTAGATCGCCCCTTTCGAGAACGCCGCGAACTACTCCGCAGTCTCTTTGTAGAGATTCCAAACCACTTCGGCTGGGTAAAGAGCATGGATGCGACCTCAGCGGATTCAGAGCCCGTCCTTGAGTTTTTCAAATCTGCCATCGACGTCAAGTGCGAGGGCATCATGGTCAAACTACTCGATAACGAGCCCAGTATAAACACACAAGCCAACAACCTTCCGAAGGAAACAATTACCACTGAACAACCCAAAGAAAAATCCACCCGACGCAAACCCCTCCTCTCAACCTACGAACCAGACAAACGCCTCGAATCCTGGCTCAAAGTAAAAAAGGACTACAGCACATCTTCCGAAACCCTCGACCTAATCCCAATAGCCGGATGGCACGGTCAAGGCCGCAAAGCAAAATGGTGGTCCCCGATCCTTCTCGCAGTCCGCAACCCAGAAACCGGATCCCTGGAAGCCGTAACGAAATGCATGTCCGGGTTTGCGGACAAATTCTACCAAAGCAACAAAGAAAAATACGCGCAGGGTAGCACGAACGTCATCTCACGTCCCAGCTACGTCGAGTACCACGGCGAACCGGACGTGTGGTTTGAGCCGTGCGAGGTATGGGAAATGGCTTTTGCGGATATCACGCTGAGTCCTACGTACCCGGCTGCTATTGGGTTGGTTAGTGACGAACGTGGATTGAGTTTGCGTTTTCCGCGTTTTATCAAGGTTCGCGAGGATAAATCTATTGATGAGGCCACGTCGTCGGATTATCTGGCGTTGTTGTGGCGGAAGCAGATGGAGCGGATTGGTGATGTTGGGGTTGGGGAGGTTGAAGGGGTTGATGATGGTCTAGATGGAGTGGAATAGATAGCTTATTTGCTTGTAAACTACCTAACTACCTATGTCATATTCAAGGGTGTACTTGTGTATTATAATTGGATATTTACTCCAGGCTTCCTATTTGCTGTGTTCTATGTATATCCTAAATAGGCTATATGACATCACATGTGACTTTCAACTGATTGGTCCAAAGCCTCATAAACTGCAACGCGAAAGTGACGCGAAAAGACGCGAAAAGACACGACAGGATTGGATGGAGAAAAAAATGAGGGGTTGACTACGTGGTCCAAGGAAAACTGATGGGCGAGATAAAGGGGAAATTTGCGTTGGGCTGAGATGGGCTGGAATGCTGGATATGTTGCTCTAGTGTAATCCAAATTTAGATTCAGAGGTGTAGTATCTGAGCTCTAGGCAAAGTAAATCAAAATAAGGGCTAGTGAAAAGGCGTGGTGGTGTGGGGGCTGAGATATATGTTCTCGGCATATTTCCAATTCGCCTTATAGACAAGAGCCATGCAGAAATATTAAACAATCGCATGAGGCATGCTGCGACCCAGAGGGTCAGAAACAATACATGATGGGTGCGAAAAGAAAAAAAAAATGAAATAATAGAAATAGAAAAGTCAACAGTGAGAGTGTCGAGGGCATACAATGACAAAGAAAAGGCAAGAGGGATGGTTTTGTGAATGAGAGGTAATGCAAGAGAAAATAGCAAAGCATTTGGAAAGACAACGCCGGTAGATGCAAGTCCGGGTAGAGGCCTGCCCCATCGAGACTCAGGTCCTCGAAAGAGCGATTCTCTGCACTGCGGAAAGAGGGCAAATTACATAGGGGATGAACACAATGTGTACATAACATGATCATAAGAAAGTCGTCAACGGGGTTTAAGAGGGTGGTAAGGCAAAAATGAACAGAGAAGAGAAGATGGGGAGAGAAACACAGGGTCTCATGGGTGTAGTTCGCCGCCGAGTTGTAACGCCAACCCCATTTCCTTGCCACGGAGTCGAGGGCTGGAATTGCTCGGCGGAACCAGGGCATCGAAGTTCAATCGCTTTCTGTTGCTCGTAAGCGGGGTGCGAGCAGGATTGCGTGGGGTGCGACCATCCCGGGATGGTTGCGCGGGGCTAGGGGTGACATTCACGAAATCAGCAAAATTGAATTGCTGATTCGGTGTGCTGATATTGGCAAACATGCCACCGCCGAGTGTAGGTGTCATGCCTGGCAGTACTGCATGCTGGCTAGGAGGAGTGGAAGGTGGGAAGGCAAGACTTCCGTTGCCCCTTGCAACCCGAGCAGGGGTCGGGGAGTTGGCGAGGTACAAAAGCAAATCTGCACCATCTTCGTGGTGCTGGGGTTGATTGCGGGACAACCGCATATGTTTCGGGGGAGGGGTTCGTGGAGGGGAGGAGCCCACGACCGAGCTCACGGTCTGGAAACTGTGCAGCGGTAGGTCGGGGTCGATCTCTTCTGACGGCCTAGGATATACAGGCGATGAAATCTCTGGAATTGTAGCCTCAGACATAAAGGGGGCCTGTGTGCGTCGGCTCGGACGGTGTCGGTTCATGCCAGGGGATGATTCTGGCAGTCGGTAAGAACTCTTCCATGAGACCCGGGGTGCCTTGGCAGGACGTTCGGAATCGGAGTCAGACCGTAGGCGCTTTCGACTGGCAGACAGCATGGGCTGCATGACCCGAGAATTGAAGGTGGCGGCATGTTTATTGCGGGCGGATCGAGGGAGTTCCTTGGAGTAGGTGGAGGCTTGGAGGGGAGGGGAGGTGAATGGAGTCTCGCAACGACTGCGTGAGAACTCGGATGAAGAGTCGGAGGGCTTATCACTCTCAAGAACGGATCTGCCATCCTGCTGGTTCGGGTTCAGGCCATGTAGTCGACCGTGCTGGTACTTCAGTTTGGCAAGGCCCAATCGATCCTGCAGACTAAGGGAGACCTGTGCGAAGAGACTCCCGAGTCAGTCCCACATCTCCAGCAAGTTCATCTAGGGGCATTCGAATGCAAGTATTTTAGAGTGACAGCCAAGACTGCATCTCAAGGGATCAGCCTTTTTCTTTTAATCTCTTACCTGGGCGATATCGATTTTGCGGATCGTTTTTTCTGCCGAGCCCGGTTGTGATGGAGGCATTGTATCAGGAGCCCAATAGAAAAGCAGCAAGACACCTGCAAGAAAGTCAAGACGTTTTCGAAGGGGTCGATGTTGAGGTTTGGGGGACGGACAAGGGCGAGAGGGAAAAGAGATTAGCGAAATGCGGGAAGTCCGAGAATAATCCTGGAGAAGCACTTGAACAGATTGGGAAAGCTGAAAGAGATCGATTTCGCTACATAAAACAAGGACAATATAGCAAACAGACTTAGGATAGAATATATACACTCTTTTTTTTTTTCAATTTTGGTTCCAATGTGAATATTTCTTTTCTTCCAGATCTATTCTACCCAAACAATCCCACATGGCCTATATTTTTACAGGCAGACTACATGTCGGTACTTGTATGTAGTCTATGTAGTCTATGTACGATGTATATAATTCATCTTTATTCGATGATTCTATGTGACAATCGTTCCCCAAATAGATCTATCAGTTGTATAACCCAATCTACTCCAAGCAGAAAAATGTTTTCCTGCAGAATTCCGGGATCCCCATAGAAACCAAGCATGCAGCCACAAATTCCGATCCACTTGGGGAGAATGAAGTATCTCCCAGGTATGCATCTAGATCACCGGAAACATTATACTTAATGCTGTCTATGCTCCGTACAGAGTACCTGTAGAATGGCCAACGCCTAGAAATGGGAGGAAAGGAGAGAAGCTAGAGAAAGAAATCACTCAAGTTTGGTTTTGAGCTGTGTAGTTAACCCCATTAGGAATTAGGGACCCTCTTAGATTAGCCACGTACGTAGCTCAGAAAAAAAAAAAAATGCAGCTTCTGAGAAACTAGGCCTTGAAACGTCGAGAGAATAATCCACACAAGACATACCGGTGTCATAACCAAGTATGTGAGCTCTCTAAGATCTAGGCTAAGGACATTAGTGTCAGATCCTGAAACATTACGACTAAGAGAGTTATAGAGTGAGATAACGAGGCTTTGAGGGTACGTAATGTATGGCTTTTTAATAGTGTCCTTACGATTTTGGAGCTAACAGGCAATCTCTGATCTTTTGAAGCTGTTTTTTTTTTCCTTTACTCAAATCACTTTGAATATCGCTACAATTATTATATTGGATCAGAATTCCCCCTTTCCCCTATCTGGTCACTTGCGGGGCGATTCGTCGTCAACCGCAAACGGGCTACCTGGTGTTCCTGACTATTTACCCTTAAAACACAGCTCCGTCTTTTCTTTTCTCTCAACCTCGTCATGCCGTTCTTCAAAGACCTCCGGCGTCGATCAAAGGCAACTTTTCACAAGACTCCATCCCAAAGTGTGGAGGAGATCTCCGCAAAATCATCATCTACCGTCGATACTTCCTCCCATAACTCCATCACTCCACCGTCATCGATCAGACCAACCCTTTCCACTCCCAGTCTTCCAGCTCTCAATGAATCAGAAACAAGCAGTGCAGTCAGCACCCCAGTGGCCCCACCTACACAGCGACCGGGGCATCTGGTCGCCGGTTCTCAGCGAAACAGCGTGATCGTAAGTAACCCCCTCCATCATTCCTTGACGACTAACAAGACTGACTCTATTCGCTTGGCAGGGTAGCAGCTCATCCTCAGTCAATGGCGTCTACCGATCACAAGCTCCCGTCTCCCCTTATGCCCCCAGAGTCGTGTCTGTGGCTGATAATTCATGGGTAAGTTTACCTGGACAGCAATCGGAGGGCACATGAGCTTCTCTCTAGTGGGACGAAAGGTGATCTGACTGTCACGTAGGTCAATCAAAAAGTGCTGCTAGTGTATGGTCAAATTGGCGACCCGAGGCAACACCCGCTAGACGGAAACGTCACCGTCTATCACCACCAAGATAATTTCCCGTCGACCGGCTGGCCCGTCACGGCATCGCATTTCAAAGTCCTCGTTCATCTAGTTCCCGGTCCTAATCGCCTTCGCTTTGACTTTGTCTCGCCCAAATTGTCCACGGGCAGCACCCACCCCGCCATCCACTCCTCCTGGATTTGCATCAACTACCTTCCACTGGTCAACAATCCCCCATTGCAGCTAGTGATCCTCCTGGGGAAAGATTCAGATGGCACATACGATGCAGTACCTGAAAGGATAGAACGGGAAGGAAACGGGTTGGAAATGGCGATTCGAAAGTACCGAATGGCGGCCTATCTCTGGCAGGCCTTTACCGGTGAACAGATGTACCGCAATAATTTCGGGCGACGTGGTTTCCGATTCGAGGAAGAGTGGCAGTCTGGTAGCTTGAGCCGTCGTGACTTGGCCCAAGGCCTGATGCGGAATGAGGCCAAGATCCACGTAGTCCGTACTGAGAAAACAGTGGCTGAGCTTCGAGATCTCTCGATCGCCCAGCAGAACGAGAAAGCCGAGAAAAGAGACGAGTTGTTCGTCATTGCTAAAGAAGCCGTACGAAATCATTTCCAGCCTCAGCCCGGCCAGAAGCAATATGTCTCCGTTCTCCTCCTCGATTCTCATTGGGATACCCAATCCCAGATGATTTCCGGCCATGCGGCTTTAGGTTCGGGCGATGATGATATCAAAATGGCTATCTTTGGGTCTCATTGCCTCCAAAGCTATCCATCATGTCTGGAAGAAGTCGTGGATTCGTTCTCAGACTGCACCCGCACGGATACGAACCACGTCGCCAATGACTGTGGCGAGGCGGGTTCCAACTGGGAGTCAGCAAACCTGGGCATCGGTGCTCACTTGCACGAGGTGGGCCATCTCTTTGGATGTCCCCACCAGGAGTCGGGGGTGATGCTCCGCGATTATGTGCGTTTGAACAGAACATTCCTGACCCGAGAGCCCTTCTCGACGCGCACAAAGGCTCAAGGGTTAAAGGTGTGTTTGCCCAATGACGAGTGTAGCTGGCATCGCCTCGATGCGCTCCGCTTCCGATTC